TGTCCAATGTCTCCCTTCACCCACTTTTCTGTTGTCCATCCCCCAGGGAGGGGGCTATATGTAGATCATTGTGATTGGTTCCCCCTTTCTCCCCCACCTTCTCCTTACCCACCTGGTATCCCTACTCTCATTATTGGTCCTAAGGAATTTCTCTGTCCTGGATTCCCAATGTTTCTAGTTCTTATCTGTACTACTGTACATCCTCTAGTCTAGCTGAATTTGTAAGCTAAAATTGGGATCATGACAGTGGGGGTGGAGGAAGCATTAGAGAACTAGATGAAAGTTGCATGTTTCATCGTTGCTATACTGCACCCTGACTGGCTTGTCATCTCCCCACAACCCTTCTGTAAGGGCATGTCCAGCTGCCTCAGATAGGCTTTGGGTTTCCACTCTGTACTACCCCCCTCATTCACAATGATACAATTTTTTTGTTCTTTGATGCCTGATACCTGATCCCATCGATACCTCGTGATCTCACAGGCTGGTGTGCTTCTTCCATGTGGGCTTTGTTGCTTCTCAGCTAGATGGCTGCTTGTTTATGTTCAAGCCTTTAAGATCCCAAACACTGTATCTTTTGATAGCTGGGCACCATCAGCTCTCTTCACATTTGCTTATGCATTTGCTTCACCACATTTGCTTTGTCTTCAGCGATCATGTAAGGAAGGTAGGCATCATAGAATGCCAGTTTAATAGAACAAAGCGTTCTTGCATTGAGGGAGTACTTGAGTAGAAGCCTAATGTCCATCTGCTACCTTAATACTAGGCCAATAAGTATATCCACATAGATCTATTTCCCCATCCTCATATATAAATATATTTACATATGTGCATGCCAGTATTTAAACCTCTATAAATGCCTTTTGCCTCCTAGTTTTTCCCTATTTCCTCTTTTTGAAAGTGAGGCACTTTAACCAACATCTTCAGCCTGAAATTGATCAAACATGTAATCAAGATGTGGTGATAATTACTGGCAAATGGAATGCAAATGTTAAAAAGTGGAAGAAATAATAGATGAAAAATATGGCCTTGGTGATAGAAATGAAGCTGGAGATACATGCTAGATTTCTGAAAGACCAATAACTTCATTACAAATACCTTTTCCCTGATACGATCGCTGAAGACAAATGGGTGCATAAGCAAATGTGGCAAAGAAAGCTGATGGTGCCCAGCTATCAAAAGACATAGCGTCTGGGATCTTAAAGGCTTGAAGGTAAACAAGCGGCCACCTAGCTCAGAAGCAACAAAGCCCACATGGAAGAAGCACACCAGCCTGTGCAATCACGAGGTGTTGAAGGGACCAGGTATCAGGCATCATCAGAAC